GAAGGAACTTTTTCCCAGACACAGAAATGTCCTTGCCTTCCTACAGCAGTGAGAACGTTTTCCACTGCCTTCCTCACAAAGTCCAAATTCCCTCTAATCTGTGTGCACAACTTTGTAATCCACCACTTCCTTTACCCATGCTAAGTTCTGAGCACACTCAACTTCATATCATTACATGAAAATACCACTCATACTCATGATGTTACCTCTCTTTGAAATGTCTTTCTCTTTCCTCCTCCTGCTAAACATCCTTCAAGATTCCCTCTATGAACCTTTTCCTGATAGCCCGGGGGTGGCTATCACTCTGTGCTGTCACAGGTACTTAGGCATACCTCCACCACATTTATTCTAATCTATGACAATTCTGACTATCTTTCTCCATAATACTGTTAATACTTTGAGTAAAAGGGTTATGTATATGGTAAATGTCTTATGTATATAACTATCTCACTAGTACCTACGAAGCTGGCTTATAAAGAGGTATGTGGCAAAAAATTGTTGACTACCTATACATGCATATCAAGAAACAGTTGAGAATTTTTCATTATTGTGTTGCTTAATGGAGTGAAAAGAAATGGAAAATCTTAATGGTTATTATTCTGTCAGTTATCTGACCATTAACAGTGAACCAGTGGGAGAGGCAATTTTTAATTTGTAAAATGGGTAATTTGTTATAGCTTGGTTAAAAAATCATACTTGAAAATATTACTACTATGTCTAAAATAGACACATCAATACACACATTCCCATCCTTTTCACTTCCACTTTTCAATTTTAAAAAATGAATTGGATTTTCCGGGCATAAAAGAAATGAGAGGTAACTGACATTGCTAAAAAATTCTCCAGCTTGTAGTTTTAATTCGTTTTTTGTTTTAACATAGCGCATGCATAAATATCACTTTCTGGAGCTATTTAGCATATATTTAATGTTCACTTTTATGGTAATCCTACATTAAATCCCATTGGCCAAAAGCACGTTATAGTTCCTCAGGTTGCTGGCCAAAGTGTTGATGGATCAGCACCATGGACAGAGGGACATTGTGTGAAAGGTCGCTCTAAGGCTGCTTGTAAACCAATAGCTATAATATCAGATGTTCTACCAAGAAAGGATTAGTGCGAAGATTCTTCTTGGGATCATGGAAAGAGATTGCCTCTAGGTTTGGGTCAACTTGGAGGATGGGAGTCTTGAAAAAACAACCACTCCTCTAAGATATCTCTGAGTGGCATAACCTGCTTCATTTATTGACCTATATTGATTCACTACTTTTTGACAATCTGCTCTTCTGTTCCCAAGGTATCAATGTTTTCATGCTGAACTAAATGTAAACACCTAATTAGTAAATGGGGAGGACACTGTGGAGTATACTTACATCTGTAAAGCAAATATATTTCACAGGGTCTAGTTTCTTGCAGTTACAGGTTTAGCCTAGCTCCTTAAATGTACATATAGTAATGTTAACCTTGCAAAAGACAGGAAAATTTTCCCCAGGCTAAAAGTCTCTATTGTAAGATAAAGAATTGTAGCACAGCAAGGTTACTGGCTCAAAGACAGACAAGTTACTGATTTATATGTAAAGATACTGGGAAATTGCTGTAAGAAGAGAGACTGTTTGCTAAGATCAAGCTTTTGTTGGTGGATCAACTTAACCTCTTGCAAATTGCATTATGGATTGTCACCTGGTCTATTTCAATGATGTTACTAGTTTTCCATTTGTTACCATAATTCTGCCGATATCCTTGTGTCTTTGTAATGGTTAAATCAACTGAATTCTCTTGTAAAACTTCCTTGTCTTTACCATAAAAGGGAGAGGCTAACTTTGAAAGGGGCTGCCACTTTCAGTTTTGCTTCTCCTAATGGAAAAATTACTGAAGTGCAGTCCATCCGGGCCTCAATACATACATAGTGCTTGAATATTTACATAATTATTTTCTTTGTATCCATTACACAGGATAAGAGGTGTAACAGGACATGTTCTTTTTACCTGCTCAGCATCTATGACCCTTTTTCCCTTTGCAAACGACCCTTCAAACAAATATGCTGTTTTCAAAAATATTGTTGATGTGAATGGGGTTTATGATGGTATTAAAATTTGGATCTAGAAAACAATGTCTATTCACCTGTTATTGGGTGGAGTGCTTTATAAAAAGTCTTTTAGATGCTGTGGATTTCTTTTTTTTTGTCTAGTGTTTCTATCAAGAATTGAGAGAGCAGAGTGTTAAAATCTCCAACTGTGACCGTAAATTTGTCTATTTCTTTTTTCAGTTATTTCAGCTTTTACTCTATTTTGTAGGTTGGTTGGTTGGTACATAGACATTTTGGGATTGATGCATCTTCTTGGTGAATTGGCCCTTCTATCATTATATAACACCCTTCTCTGTGTCTGAGA